GGTTGAGCCTCCTGATCCAGCCTCCACCACCTGAGGATGAAGGAGTGGAGGCTAGCCTTCTACCCCAGTCATGCCGCATGAGGACAGCCATCTGCTCCAAGGGTAGCACTGATGGCAGACAGGTCAATAGGTCAGCAGTGTGGTGAGGCATCCCTTTCCCTCTAGGGGAGGACTGGAGATTCTCTCCCCCAAGTCCTCTGCCATTACCCAGGTTACCTGTGTGTCACAGGCCCCTGAGCTGCCACCCTCAGCCTTGCCAACTTAAATGCCCACCCTTGGCGATGTCAGCTTTCTCTTCTCAGGGTAGCTTCTAGTCTCCCAACAGCAGAACACATCAGTGGAGATCACAGGCTAGGGACAAGGTCTGGAGGGCACAGATGTTGCAGATCAAGTAGCCCTTTCCTGGGACAGGTGGAGACCTCACTTCCAAGGTCCTTGTGGGACTCCGCTGAAAGTAAGTCTACACTCAGTCATAGAGGAGGGGTTTGTGGGGGAGGTAGGAACTCACTCAAAGGCTCTGGGAGTGTCCCAGGGATCATCAAGAGCTCACCCTGAGGTTGGGGGTGCAGGTGAGAAACTGGCAAGCACTCAGTGTAAACACCCATCCTGGAGTTATGAGTGACTCCCTTAACCTACAGCTGAACTCATCACATCTCTCCCCCACTGTTAACAAAATCTGGCCCACTGTATCTTCCTGGACCACGCAGTCTAGCATAGCCTCCATCACTTCGCCTGCTGCCCTGCTCTATATGTCTTCATGGGCCTTGTTTACACTTGATGTCTCAAAATTCAGTGTCCTGTCCTGAAAATCACATCAAAGCTCTGCATTGTATGCATGGCTGGTGCTCTGCAAGTCGTATTTGTAGGATGTATGTATGCATGTATGTAATATGTATGTGTGTATAGATGGATGGATGGACAGATGGGTATGTAGAAAATGGGTGGATGAGTGAATAGGTAAGTGGACTGATGGACAAGTCGATACATAGAAGGATAAGTGGATGGAAGGGTGGATAAATGGATAGTTTGATAGGTTGGTAAAAGACGGGTGGATGAATGAGTGGATGGATGGATCAATGGATGATAAGATGGGAGAATAAGTGGCTGTATATAGAATGGATGCATATGTGGATGGGTGGGACACTAGGATGGATGGATGGGCGGATGATAGGATGGATGATGGATGGATGGACGGACAGGGTAGACAGATGATAGAATGGTGTATGGTGAGTGGATAGATAATAAACAGGTGATGGACAAATGTGTGGGTGAGTGAATGAGTACATAGATACATGAATGGGTCATGAGTGGATGCTTGAGAGATGGATGACGGGAGAAGGTGCTTTTAGAGAATTGCTGCTGATAGCCAGGGTCCCAGAAAATAATTTAAGGTGTGGCAGGGCTATTCCAGGTGCCAGACAGCAGATGAGCAATGCCCATGTCTATATTTGCAGCTCCATGTGCAAAGGTTACTCTTGTGCTAGAAGAAAGGGGTGTGGAGGAAGAGCCCCAGCCCCAGAGGCCAGGCCCAGCTATGGCTCCTCTTCCTGAGTGATGCTGAGCAAGGTTCTACCCATTCTGTGTCATCTGAGGCTCAACCTGTGTGATTACAGACAGAACAGGCCCCAGGAAAACAACCCTCTCTCCATTGCCTGACTCACAGAACACTTACCTGGCCTTGCAGAAAAGGAGACAGAACCAGGGTGTGGCATGGGAAGCCGAGGCTCTGCTGCCCTTGCCTGGTGTCTTCTCCACCAACTGATTGTCGCCTACCCTCGGGTCCCGCCTTACACAGATCTACCTAGGTGAGTCGTCCTATAGTGCCCCAGTGCCCCGCAGCCTCCCTAGCTGTCACACTCATGCAGTGCTTATCTGTGTCCCTCTTTCCTGCCAGTCTGTGGCACAGGCCGTGTCTCTCCCCTCCCCCAGTGTCCCTTATCCCAGTGTGGCTGGGGTACAGTAGTGAGTAAAATGCTGAGAAGTACAGGGAGGCTTTGGGGGAACTGCGGTGTGCCTGACCTTATACCTCAAGGTGTTTGGACACTTTCAACCAAGGGATCCTACCTGTCTACAGAGTGCCCTTTCAGGCCAGGAAAGGGCTCAGGGCTGTGGTATCACACTGCGTCTGTGCTCACCCATATGCCTTCGTTCTGGGTGGCTCACACTCTCACGATCTCTGTATCACAGACATGAATGCAAGGGGAGGGACATGAGCAGCGAGACCTCTGCTCCAGACAGAGGTCCAGGCTTGTCCCTCAACTTCCTGGCCAGCCTGCTGAGGTCAGAGAGCGGGCAGGCCAGAGAGTGCTAACATTCTCCGCCCTGTGTCCCCTTCATTCCACTTTCTGGGCATTATTCTTCTGCCAGCATCTCAAAGGTAGAGGTTATGTCCCAAGCACAGTCCCAGGAGCTATGAACAAAGACTGGGAGGGCCCGTGCTCTCTGAGCAGTGGCTATTGGCATGAGAAGAGGTGCAAAAGGCAGATGGAAGGGACACAATAGTTCCTGAGCCCACTCCATTTTGAATTGCCTCCAAGTCCTAGCCTGGCCACCTCCAACAGGATCCTTGCTGACCGCCCCCAGGATCCCCAAGAAGTCCTGTCACCAGAATCACACCCCCTCCTGAGGGTAAATTCAGTGTGTGGCTGTTTTACACTTCTGCCGGGACCCAGATGGGGATAGGTAAAACGCATCTTCCTAGCAATCCTGCCAAGGACAAAGGCCTTTCCCACCATGGACCTCACCATGGACCTCACCTACAGCCTCCAGCTCCAAGATCTATGGCCTCCACGAAGCCTGAGGTCCCTGGGGGCATGCCAGCAGGCAGATGCCTCCTCCTACCCTGGGTGTGAGTGTGAAGCCCAGCATTCTCTGTTCTCAGTCTCAGGCCCAGACCCCCACTTCTGTTCTGCCCTTCATTCCCAGACCCCACAATTCCATCAAGCCTGTAAGAAGTTCTCAACCTGTTTTTCCCAGCGGTTTCTGTGCCTTTCCCAAATGAGTCATCTTTCTCCACCTGCCAACTCCACCGTCACCACCCTGTCATGGAGACCTAAGTTCTGTTCTCAGGGCTTGAAATCACACTCCCTTCCCTCCACCCACCCATTCTCCCTGAGTCTGATGTATTCAGGGAGGCCCCAGAGCTGGGTGGGCCTTTCCTGTGACATTCCTGCTGCCCTAAGCAAATCTTAAGGAGCCAGGCACTACCTAGCAAAACAGAGGACAGCGTGGGATAGAGATGGGCCTTCTTCAGGGGCTGCTACCCAAGGCCCTCCCAGATTCCACACCCTGCCGTGTATGATGTTTTGAATGTGTTCTGACAAATAAAGCTTGCTTGGAGTCAGAGAGCGGGGCCAGCCACTAGCAGACCAAAAATTAACCACTGAAGTTTGGAGAACTGTAGACAGAGAAGAGGCAGGAAGTGGTGAGGCAAGGCTGAGAAAGGATCTTGGCCCTTCTGGACATAGGCAGGAGAGAGGTAGGAAGCAACTGGCAGCTGCTCCCTGTTCTCTGATCTTTCAGGTTCTTACCCCAATATTTGACTCCTGACTTTTTTATTGACAAAGATTAATTAGGTCAACACAACACTATCAAGTCCAAAAATCATTTTGAGAAGAACCACATGGAAGTCCCCAGGGCACTTCGTTCGGTCCTAGCTTTATCCAACTTGACTCAGCTCAGGAGCAAGCTAGCCCAGGGAAAAGCAGAGAGTGGGGCCCAAGGCTCTTGAGTCCACATCTGCCTGACCCAAAATCTTTAGGGCTCTAAGAAGCTCAGCCTTGGCTCAGACCAACCCTCCCTGAAGCAGGCCCTGACCTGCCCATCCTTGTTGGTGCTTGTCCATCTGCTTTGCATGGATACAGGCAGGACAGGCCCAGGCCTGACCTCTGTCTGTGCCTACCCCATTGCTGATAGCCTGGACCCCCAGGACAGGGGCAGGAGTACTCTATAGGACCCACTCACACTACCTCCAGATGAGTAGACAGAACTAGCAGTTAGAAGACAGTTACCTTTCTGCTAAGAACTAGAGTCACCGGGCCAAAAATGTCTCCTATGCATGCCAAGAGAGCAAAAGTGGGGCTCGGAGAGCATGATGGGGACCATTATCAGCACCTGCCTAGTGCCCTGGGGAGCTCTCAGTCACAGGGGAGCAAGGCAGAGAGGCAGAGCAATAGTTACACAGTGGGAGAATGGCAGTGTTCTTATTACCATTGTATGAGGGATGCAGTTAGGGACTTGATGGGAATGGGACCTGAGCCCCAAGCAGAGGAAGAGAGAAATGGAGGAAAACTCCTATCTCTGCAGCAATGAGATGCCCCCACAGCTTGCTGCTCCTCAGTTGATCCTGTCCTATCCTGTCCCTACCCAGTTTCCTGGGATGGCCAAGCTTCCAAGGTCTAGGGTCTTCATAGCCCTAACCTGGCCATACCTGGTACACACACAGACACCCCGCCCCCTGCTTCCCTCTCCCTGCCCCAAATCGCCTCCACATCTTCATCAAGGACTATTTGCTTCCTTGGGGTTCCTTGCTCCAAGGTCCCACTGGGTCAGGCCAGCACTGAGCTCAGAGCAGAGAGGAATGTAACCTCTGGGCCTTCTAACCTGTGGGTATCCAGATAACCAGCACAGCCTTAGCTGGAGGAACTACCCAATGGTAGGTAGCAAGAATAACAGACGGAAGTGGAAAGTCCACAACCACGTGACCCAGGAAGAGGCAGGTAATCAATAAGGAAACTGGGAACCCAACAACATCTGGTGACCTGAGCAGGAACCAGACAACCCTGCTCAAGGAGGCCCCCCGATGTGAGGGCTAGGAACCTCAGTCCCTCCAAGTTGAAGGAGCCAGGCCTGTTCTGAGCTGCTGTGCTGGGCTTGGGCCAGAAAGGGTGGGGTGAACTCTGATTTGCATGCTGCTATCTGGCATGCCCTAAACTCCTCCCACAGCTCCTGCCCCATCTATAAGGTCTAGGGAGAGAAAGAGCCCCCACTGCTTCCAGACAATGCTTAGGATGAAGACGGCTCTGCTACTCCTCCTTGCCGTGGCTGTGGCCACTAGCCCAGGTGAGAGACTGGACTTGGGGACTGGGAAGGGTTGGGTGACCGACAGGAGGTCATCAAATACTATAAACTAGAATTTAGGCTTAGAGAACACTGATGTTGAGGGATGCTTATCTCTTTAAAACAAATGACTTTAATACCTTAACTCAATGGAATCGTAAAAATGCAATCTTTCAGAATCAGGGAATTTTAGCACCAACCCTTAGAACTGGGTGTGCTTTGAGAGGAAGGAGGGCTGGAATTGTTCAAGAGGCTTCCCCTACCACCATCCCCACCTCACATCTGTTCTGGCCAGCCCTGGGGTGGCCAAGTCCCTCTTCCTCCAGGCTCTTCAGGAATTGGGATGGGGACAGATGCATCCTTAGCAAAGACCAGGAACATCCCAAGGTCCTCAGAGAAGGGCTCCCTCCACTTTGCACCCACTCTGCTTCTTCACCTCTTCCCAGAGGCGGCACGGGATAGAACACCCTCTCTAGGGCTCCAAGGGATATCCAGCCACCCTCTGAGCTAAACACAAGACGTGAGCTTTGTGGGTTCTAGGGCAGGAGTTGGGGTGAAAAATGACAGAAGGCTCCGTCATAGCAAAGGCCTTTACTTGACTCTCTGATCTTTCACCCTCCAGCCTGGGCGCTCCAATGTTATGTGTGCAGCAGCAGCACCAACTGTATGAAGCCTCAGACCTGCCCAGCAAGCTCCCAGTTTTGTAAAACTGCCACCACAGGTGAGTCGTGGTCCAGAGTTCTCAGGGCCAAGAGAGCAGCCCTTGATACTGGGAATGAGCAGCAGGCTTGACACTGGGAATGGGTCAGTCACGCTGATGACGGCGGTGTTTAGCGGAGGATGTTCTGTGGGAGCCAGGGTGCGTGGTAAGCCAGGCCTGACGCCCTTTCCCCTCCTGTGTGCAGTGAACACTCTGTCTGGGAACCTGGTGAAGAAAGAATGTGCAGACTCGTGCGTTTCCAACCACAGCCAGCAGGGCCAGATCAGCAGCGGTTCCTGGGCCGTACATTGCTGCCAGGGCGACCTGTGCAACGGGAAGCTGTACAGCGCTGCATCTGTACGTGCCCCGTTTAGCAGCGCCACCCTGGGCCTGGCAATGAGCCTGGGCCTCCTCGTTCTTATGGCTCTCAGCCTGTAACGTGCCGCTTGGCATTGTCCCTGTCCCTCCTTTTCTGCTTCCCCGGGTTCCCATGCCTTGCTTCCTCCTTGGCCATGATGGAGGAGCCAGATGCTAAGGCTGGGGACTGCCCTTAAAGGCTGGGTGGAGCCTGGGTCCTGGAGGGCACCAAGAGCTGATGACCTAACACGGTGCCTGCCCCAGAACAGGAAGATTTGCCCTGCTCCCCAGCATGGGAGATGGGGGACAGACATGACACCATCCCCTCTGATTTTGTACTCGTGCCATTTATTTTTCTACTTGAACTTCTACATGGAAATAAATGACCTAAAAAACACTGTGGCTGTGTGGAGTGGTAAGTGACAGTGGAGCCTCTTGCACATGGCTCCCTGGACAAGCCTCAGCAGCATGGAGTAGCGCCTAGGACCTGACCTGAAAGACACCTCCATCCTTGAAGGGGCAGACTCCCCCCAAGTCCCATGTAGGGAGGAAGGACACTGTGCCCAGACCCCAACTCGGAGATTCTACTTCCCCAAGGCTGTAAAGAGACCCCAGTCTTCGAGTTGTGAGGGCACTGCACACAGCCAGGGTCCAAGGTGAGCCTAGCTACCAGGATGATCTCATTCCTTAGGAGTGCTGCTCTGTTGCAACCTATCCGGATGTGTATGCTGGAGCGGGAGGTGTGACTCAGTATAAGCTAAGAGAGGCCATCTAGGAGGGGCCTAAGCAGAGCACAGCCCTAGGGACCCTAGGAAAGCTCACTGCCTGCTTTCCCATCCCATGCAATGGGTTTCTGCTGCTGCCTAGGCTCCTGTGTGCTACTTGGATTTGGGCAATTCCTGAGTGTGGTGAGGCTGAGGTTGAATGAGGGAGAGGTATTTAGCAGATACCCACACAAGCAGACTAGCCCATTCTACTGCGACCACTACCCTGCAAGCCCACATGGGGGAGTGGGGGGACACAGGTTATCACCCTGGCAGGCCTGTGTGGCAAACCCTGCCCTTTGCAGATGGCAGAGGGATGGCGAGGGTCCCTCTTCCCATCATGCACCTCACCCTGAACCTTAAAGCATCCTCACCACCCTGCTTCCGAGAGAGGGTTGTGAGAGGGGGAGTGTGACGCTGTAAAGCCATGGAAATTTTTAAAAAGCTTTGCTTGGTTAGGAGCTGGTTAAGACACATGCTTTGAGCTCTTTACAGCATCATAGGAGTTAGCTGGAAAAACCAACTGTTCCTGGCACTCGGCAAAATCAACCCCCTTGACTCTGAGTAAACCTGGCTTGCAGCTTTTGTCTCTATATGTCAACCCCAAATGAGGAGTAGGAGCTCTCCCTACTGCGCTGAGTCGCATGTAGTGGACAGCTCCCAGCTCGCTGGCAAAAGAAATAAACCTTGCTTTTGCATTCTGGACTTGACTGGATTCCGGTGGTCTCTTTAGGGTTCTCAACTTGGGCACAACAACGCAGGCTCCCTAAACCAAGCCTCAACATCTGGGAAGGTGCTCGTTGGTCTGGGGTGAGCCCTGCTACTTCTGGGTTCCCCACTTGGAACAAGGTGCTGGACCTGCTGAGCCTGGGTTTTTTACACAGACTCCCACGTCCAGTCACAGCCGCTTGTAATGGAGGCAGGTTTGCTGGGGAGCCACGACCCTGTCTTCCAGACATTGCAGGACATTCATCCACCGTGAGGAAGAGAGGTGGAGGGAAAGGCAAAGAGGAACATCCTCCAACCCCAGAAATCAGGAAGCTTTCCTGGAACCATGGGTGATGACTGCTGGGTAGGATGCTGTTCCCTAGGGCCGCATTTCCTGGAGCTGAGCGCCAAGCCTGGTGCCGGCGCGCCTCCTAGTGGCCAGTAAGTCAGGCAGGCCTGGCGCGCCTCCTAGTGGCCAGGCCTGGCGCGCCTCCTAGTGGCCAGTCCTGGCGCGCCCCCTAGTGGCCAGTAAGTCAGGCAGCGGAAGACACCTGTCGAGAGGGAATTCTTTGCTCAGGCTATTCAGGTTCCATCTGCAACACTTCCTGCCTCCTCTCTACAGGTGTCCCGAAGTGCCTTGGGCATAGAAAGCCACCTGTATGTGGGAGTCAGACAGAGAAGGCGGCTAGGAGAATTTAACCCGAAACCCTAGCCGTTTCCAAGTGTGGAAATAGTCTGGGAGCAGGGAAGTGACTAAGTACTCCTCATCAGGCCAGGCATAGAAACGCTACTGGTGGAGACCCCTGACATCCCTGGAGGTACTTGAGGAAGGGGAAGGAACAAAGCCCTGCCTGGATTCAGGAAGGGATGCGACCCCACCAGAGAAATCAGGAAATCCCAGGGATAGAAAGAAAGAGGGTCTCACCAACTGGGTCTGTGATGGCTTCCCACAGTTGACAAGTGAAGGACAGCTGTTGCATGTCCTTTCCTGGTGAGACAGTGAGACACGAACCCCAGACATGGCACTGGTGGCCAAACAACGATTGCACCCAAGTCCAGAGAGTTTACCGAGGCTGCGTACAGGAGGGTGTCTGAAGGGTGCCTCAAAACAGCATGGGTGACTCCAACAGAGTCACAGCTAAAACGCCCACCCCAACCTGGGTGACAGCTCCTAAGAGCTGCATCCTTAGGGTACACTTACAGGAGAGGAAGTCTCCTATCTCCAGCCTGTAGAAGCTTGGCGGGGGTTGGCGGGGGGCTGATGAATCTTACTGAGCTTTCAGGGAGTTCCTGAGACTAAGAAGTTTTATTTACTTCTTGAGCCTTGTGAACTTCCTGTACATCTCAACAAAGCCTCCCTCCTCCATGTTTCTATTTGGGGGAAGAGGCTACAAAACCACCGTCTAAGAGCGGAGTGAAATGTGTACAGGCTCCGGGAATTTCCTGGGAAGTGGGCAGCCTGCACATATCAGGAACTTCAGGCTTCCCGTGGGACACAGCAGCATCCGAGACTGGCAAGATGCCACAGAAAAGCTGACAACAGCTGAGTCTCCGAGCCCAGCTGCCTTCTAACCGGCAGTCTATAGGCATCTCAGACCCAGCTCCCAGGCTGCCCCTGTATCATTCTTCTGGACAGCTTCTCTGTTACTCCTAGACCTAACCCAGCTTCACCCCCACTGACCTGGACTCACCTGGTCACAGCCCATGGCAGGGTATGCAAAGATGGGAGCCCTCTCCAGCTGTGTGTGTGTGAACATACTTCCAGGGACCGGTGGTAAGACAGCAGAACTGCCCCTCATTCCTGGGGTTCCTCCTGCAGAAGTCCAGTCCCAAAACCTGCACAGCAATGAGGTAAGGTAGTGACAAAGACAATAGCAGGGGTTAGAGGGGCCCCAGTGGTGACCTAGCTGGAGGCAGCGGTAGAATGGTGGCCAGGAGCAGCAAAATCTGAGAACTCTGCACACTATCAGACACGCAAAACAACAACCCCATGAAATGCTCTGGGCCTATCCCTGACCTACCTAGGACAGGGAGAGACACTATTCCCTTTGCTTTAGCCAAAGACACAACATGTGTGGTAGTTGAAATGGAATTGCCCCCATAAGCTCATAGTGAGTGGCACTATTAGGAAGTATGGCTTTGTTGGAGCAGATACAGCCTTGTTGGAGGAGGTGCGTCACTGTGGAGGTAGGCTTTGAGATCTTATATATGCTCAAAACACACCCAGTGTCTCAGTGCACTTCCTGTTGCCGTTGGATCAAGATGTAGGTCCTTCTCCATTCTTCAGCTCCTTCTCCAGCTCCATATCTGCCTGCATGCTGCCATGTTCTGCCGTGATGATAATAGACTAAATCTCTGAAACTGTAAGTCATCCAGTTTAAATGTTTTCCTTTATAAGGATTGCTGTGGTCATGGTGTCTCGTCACAGCAATAGAAACCCTAACTAAGACACCATGCAACCAAGCACAACTTCCGAAGAGTGGTTAGGGAACTTCAAAAAACAGCTGATCATGTCTTCTGAGAGGGCCAGCCTACCCAGAACATCTATTGTCCTCGCTGTCCCAAAGAGTGTGACCTATAGCCTCACTGACAGTCAGCCTAATTGCCCATTTCTTACAGAGGACATAGGGCTGCCTATTGCCCATTCCACTAGTCAGTCACCTGGGTCCGGCTTCTGACAAGTTTTCTCTGGCCTGGCCATGGACCAAAAGGGGCTGGGTATTCTCATAGAACTGATCAATTCTCTTCCCGTTTTGATTTTTCTATTTCATTGATATCTTCCCTTTTTGGCTTTTATTATGTATTCATGTATGCATAAGTGTGTTTGTGTGTGTGTGCATGTGTGTTTGTGTATAGACATGTATGTTTGTGTGTGGACTGTGAGTTTGTATGTATGTGTGTTTTTGTGTGTATGTGTATGTTTGTGTGTAGACGTGTGTATTTGTGTGTGGACTTGTGTGTTTGTGTGTGGACATGTATGCTTGTATGTGCATGTGTGTGCATGTGTGCTTAAGTGTATGCATGTGCGTGCATGTGTGTTTGTGTATAGACATGTATGTTTGTGTGTGGACTGTGTTTGTATGTGTGTATGTATGTGTGTTTGTGTGTGTTTTTGTGCATGTGTGTTTGTATGCATGTGTGTTTGTGTGTGGATGTGTATGTTTGTGTGTAGACGTGTGTATTTGTGTGTGTCTGTGTGTGGACTTGTGTGTTTGTGTGTGGACATGTGTGTTTGTATGTGCATGTGTGTGTGTTTATGTGTGCATGTGTGCTTGTGTGTACATGTGTGTGTGTTTGTGTGTGCATATGCAGACCAAATGCTGATGCTGAGTGTCTTCGCATCAGTCTCTACCTTATTTTTCTTTTCTTTATTTACTTTTGAGCTCACAGATTCAGCCAGACTGGCTGGCCAGGGAACCCCAGTGTCCTCCAGCCTTCACCTCCCCAGCACTGTGATCTCAAGCAGACACCACCTAGCCCAGCTTTTATGCACTTATTTTCTGAGCAACAGACCCCATTTTGTTTCATCAAATACTGAAGTTTGTGCCTCTCCAAGCGTCTCCTGAGAGAAGCATTTCTTCGGACAGCGCCTTCTGCTCTAATAGTGTGCCAGCCCAGATCAGCATCCCCAGTGTTTAGCCTGACTTTTCAGGATGCTGGGATCTGAACTCAGGTCCTCGGGCTTGCACGGTGAGCACTCCACCCGCTGAGCTGCCTCTCCTGCTCTGCTCTTGTTTTTGCTGTATTTTGCCTCCTTTGGGTCTGATTTGCTCTTTTGTTCTAGTTTCTGAAGATGGAAATTCAGTTCCTCTTTGGGGACCTCCTAAAATTCTTCCTCCTAAAACAGCACTTGTGTGGAATCTCCCTCCTGAACCGGCTGTATAACTGCATCAGTTGCCTTTATGTGCTGTGTCTTCACCATCTGCCAGGAATAGTTTCTGACTCCCTGGTTGATGCCACCTTTGCCTATGGGTTATTTAAAATTGTGTTGTTACCCAGCCTCTGTATATTTGTAAATATTTTGCTGATTACTTTACAACACTATTGTTGTTGTTGTTGTTGTTGTTATATTGGGGATAGTGCAAGCATACACACACTACAGCAGAAGTATCAAAGGACAACTTTCAGGAGTTGGTCTCTCTGTCCACAGTGGGTTCCAGGAATCAAACTTGCGTGCCAAGCTTGCATAGTAAGGGCTGTTACTCACTGAATCTGGCTAGCCCCACCATGCTACAGATTTCCAAGTGCATTGCCATCCGAGAAAAGTACCGTTTGGTTTCAATCCTTGCATGTGTATGTATTGAGATTTATTGGATGGCTCAGAATATGGACTGTCATTGTTGCAACAAAACACCATGACCAAGGCAGCTTGCAAAAGAAAGTGTTTAATTTGTCTTACAGTTTCAGAAGGTTAGAGTCCGTGAGTGATAGAGCAAAGGCAGCAGGAACAGCTCCACCTTGATCTCCAAGCATGAGGCAGAGAGAGCTAACTGGAAATGGAGGGTGTGAGTCTTTTGAAACTCCAAAGTTTCCCCCAAGTGGCACATCTCCAATAAGAGCACACCTTCTAGCCCTCCCCAAACATTTCCACCAATGGGGGGCCAAATATTAAAACAGAAGAGTCTATGGGGGCCTTTTTCATTCAGCCGCCACGAGGTCTTCTATTGATGAAGGTTTGCGGAAACAAGGTTTGTGTTTTCCTGGGGACTAGAGTATATTGGTTGTTTGTCTCAGCTTTATGTTTTTGTTTTAATTTGGGGGGGATTATTTGATTGATTGTTTGATTTTGGAGACAGTTTCACTGTATAACAGCCCCAGCAGTTCTGGAACTGACTTTGTAAACCAGGCTGACCTCGAACTGAAATCCTCCTGCCTCTGCCTCCGGAAGGCTGGGGTTAAAGCCACTTGTTTGTAGCCACTCAGAGGTAAGGCCTGCGACTGCGCATGCGTGGGAATCGACTAGCCGAGTGACGTGTGCACTCCGCCTGTCGCTGCAGGTTTTCTTTATTGCCTTCCTCTCAAAACGGGGGCCAGGGGAAGGAAGTAGGGTTTATGAAAACCTATTACATTTTGGCTGCTTGAAACAGAACAAAAATAAAACGAGTTTTAGCCACATAAAGTTCGTATTTAATAGTGGACTTTTGATGGCGAGAGCAGCCTGTGAGCCATGGGATACATCTGAGACTTGCTCGCAAGTGTTGCTAGTGGATCCCACGTAAGGACAGAGGTGCGGTGAGGTCCCTGTCCAGGTGGTACCTCTTCCCAGAGACAGCAGTTTGGTCTGTGGGAGCAGGGCAGTTGGAGTGGGAAGAGCTTCGATGAAACCTGAGGAGAATGTCCAAGAAGTGTACACTTACCTTAGGATCGCTACTGTGTCCTTGTGAATCTGTGCCAGTGGGAGCATTCTGATTCCCAGGGGCTGCTCAGACTGTGCTCACTAGAGCCCTAACCAGAGAACTCACGACTGAGCCTACACCAGTTAGCTTGGGGTTTGGACGGCCTCGGGGGCGGAGCGTGTGTCCTAGGGGCGGAGTGAGGCGGGGCCAGTAATGAGCTGGCACTGCGGGTCGGTTGCGGCTGCCGAGCCTACCCGGTTTGAGATGCGGTGCAAACGCTGCGCGAAGTGTGCCCAGATTCACGGTCAGACCTCGGGAGGGACCTGGGAGCGGCCACGGGTGAGTTCCCATGGTGACAGGGATTGTGGTGGTGAAGGGCAAGGGCGAGGTCACCCGCACCCAGCCCGTGCTGGGAACCCTCCCCAAGCAACACTGCAGTCTTTCGGGCGGAGCTCCCCGAGAGGGGGCAGGAGGCACCCGAGCCTCAGGCCTGGCCTGATTCAGGACTTCAGAATCCTGGACTGGCACCAGGGAAATGGGTCATGAAGGGTTGTCTTCCGGGGAGTGTATTTTAGTGCCCCCAGCAGGGATCAGATCGCGCAGATGCAGGGAGGAGAATATTGGTCCACATTACCCCAACAGTCCCAAACACCAGACTCACCCTATGGAACTCTGTCTTGGGCAAGCATCGTCGTCTGGCCTGCATCTGAAGAGGCTTTAGGTAGGAGCTGAGCACTCATCATGGCCCCTTCTGCTTTGGCGGAGGATTCTCACAGCAGAGTCTCACTTTCCTGGGGGGCCGGGGGGGGGAGGGGACTCCACGCAGGGAAGCAAATGCAAGAGGGACCTCTGCTCCAAGAAGAGACCAAACCTGGATTCCAGTCCTCTGGAGAGCCTCCTGCACTCTGGGCTCTGCCAGGAAGAGACTGCTTGCCAAGTTTCCATACCCCACCCCCCCAAAAAAAACCTCCCTTAGGTGAAATCCTCTTTGGGTTCCACATTCAAGGAGCCCAGTTCCTCCCCTCCCCCCCTTTTTTAGCTCCCCACACCCTCACCTTTTGCTTGCTTTTGGTCTTCTATTGGAATGCCCCACATCCTGCTCCCTCCTCCCATCTCCAGGTAAATGGAAATCAATAACACCCACTGAGCTGGGAGGCTCTGCCTGCCCCAGACCAGCTGTGATTACAGGTCTCTGTCATTGTCCCTGCAGGGTTGCTTTATCCCTAGGAGACCAAGAACTCAAGCTGGGCAAGAGCCTGCCCTGTGCCTCCCTGCCCTGCTTCTTCCCAGGCCTGGGTTGGATCCAGGACCAGCTGTTCAGTCCCACGCTCTCCTCACATCTCCATCATGACATCCCTGCTCACGGTGCTCCTGGTGGTTCTAGTGGGCCTGCCTGTGGGTAAGGTGGACGGAAGCTCGAGGGACCCGGTTGTGGGACAGGCAGGTGGGAAGTCGGAGGCCTGGCCAGAGTTCTCCTGCCTTCTGACTGTCCTCACCTGGTGCCCTAGTGGGAGTGGGAGGTTGGTGGAGACAGCTGGGGTCTGACTTGGCAGGAAAGGGATGTCTTCCTGTTCTCTGAACCCTGTCATGGCCCACAGCCCAGGCTCTGGAGTGTCACGTGTGTGCCTACAACGGAGACAACTGCTTCAAACCCATGCGCTGCCCGGCCATGGCCACCTACTGCATGACCACTCGTACTTGTGAGTCTGGAGCATAGGGAGGGAGGCCCCCAGCTGCCCTGGTGCTCCTACAAGCTGAGACTGAGCCATCCAAGGTCCTGATTCTCTCACTGCAACCTTGTGTCCTGTCCCCTGTAGACTTCACCCCATACCGGATGAAAGTGAGGAAGTCGTGTGTACCCAGCTGCTTTGAGACCGTGTATGATGGCTACTCCAAGCATGCATCTGCCACCTCCTGTTGCCAGTACTACCTCTGCAATGGAGCTGGCTTTCCTACCCCAGTGACCTTGGCCCTGGTCCTGGTACTCCTGGCCACCTTCTGGAGCTTGCTGTGAAGCTCTGTTCCCTCAGGCAGACCCACTGAAACGCAAAGCTCTTAAAAGATACAAATCGTCCCCTCTCACCTCCTCGCTCCACCCAACCCTCTTCCTTCAGCCACAACAAGAGCCCATGGCTACCTACAAAAGGACTGATGGCATCCAGATACCTCACCCCGAGGCCATAACCTTTCATTTTCAGAAGGCTGATATATGGATCTAAATCTCTCTGCCCAGGATCAGAGGCATCTGGGAGAGTGCTATTTGCTGGGGTGGGGGTGGGGTGTCAGTCACACTGATTTGAAGGAATTAGTGGCCAAATTCCACCTTTATAGCATCAGGACCCTGCCTCGGTCTACCCAGTAGAGGATAGGCCTGCTAGAGGGGGACAAAAGATCACGAACTGTCTAGAAGCAAAGAAAGACTTGGTGGAACTGTCTCCTGCTGAGTCCAGATGCTGCCCGGGGCAAGTGTGAGGTGGAAGCCTTGTGTGGAAGGCTTTTGTCATTTCCAGCTCTCTTAGGAATTCTGCCAGACCTGGTGTCAGGACAGCTCTGGGCTGAGGGTAGCTAGCTATGGCTTCATTTCCACAGGCCACTAAGATCCCTCCAGCCTCAGCAGCTCAGCAGTCCCTGCGACCTCACACAGACTGCTGGGCCTTGAGGCTGGCAGGGACATGGGGGCAGGCTGCCCATGCTATATTTTGTCTGGCCTGTCCACAGGTCAGAGCTATTCTGAGCATGGCAGGAAGGGAACAAAGGCAGGTCAGAGCCAGCTGGTGGGGCAACCGGGACAGCAAAGCAGACTTCAGCTAGCTTCCCAGGTCCTGTAGGCAGCTTCTGCATCCTCTGAGCTCTCGGTAAATTATGCGGAGGCAAATGCACAGGGAGCCAGCCCAAGTACCGGGTGACTGTCTGTGAAGTCAGCTGAAGACTTCTGGGTATCAAGATCCCGAAGAACCCAACCCCGATTTAGGAGACACCGATCTGTCTTTTATGCCAGTGTAGTTGACCCAGGGAGCCTTACCCTCTTCTCTGACTAGTACCCCAACTCATGTGCCACTGAGGAGACCCCTGAAGCTGGCCCAGCCCAGAGGTCAGGATGCTGGCCCTTGTCCATGTCTGGCTAGGAGAGTCTTACTGATCCCCACGTCCTACTGGTCACACATCCTGAATGCTTTTTCTCACACCACCAGCTGTAGGATCAGGACACAGAGGCCCATCCTGGGGACCTTCCTCCCTGTTCTTAGGCAGACCTGAGCTCCGCTGCTGAAAGTGATGTGGTTTTCTGCCTCAGTTTCCTCCTCTGGGGACAGGCCAGTGGGGGATGGGAGATAGCCTCCTGCTGATGGGAACAGGAACTGTGCAGCTTTATTACAGAGGTGTATGGGGTGGGAAATGGCCCAGAAATGAGGAGGCAGTGACTACCCGGAAAGAATGTGAGTCTCATGGGAGAGAGCAGAGGGAGGAGTGCACATGCGCATGTGAACACAGTGGCTGCAAAACCCAGAAGGCAACACTGGCTGTGGTGCCCCCTGAGGTCCAGGCAGGATGCTGGGAGGAAGCCAGTGCTGCCCCCTCCTGAGCTTTCATAGAAAACACACACACACACACACACACACACACACACACAGAGAGAGAGAGAGAGAGAGAGAGAGAGAGAGAGAGAGAGAGAGAGAAGAAGCAGCAGCAGCATTGGGACTGACCTATGGAAGCCACAGGGCCCTTGGTAAGGAGGCGGGCCCCTAACTCAGTGGGTGAGGCCTGGGAAACATTACCCAGCTTGTGCAAGTCCATTGTCCCCAGTCAAGGTGGCATCCTGGGCTAGAACTGGGAGGAGGCCCAAGACCAGGTCCTCCCTCCCACCACAAGGGTTAATGTGGAACAGGCCCTTGATTACCTATTGCTGAGAGTGTAGCAGGGTTTGGAGGGCAGTTTCTTTCACCTGCCTCATAACAGCATCTAGATAGGCCCCACAGTGTCCACACTGCCACCCACCCCTACAGGAAGTATACCTACCTAGCCTGTCCTTGGTGCTTAGCACAGAGCCCAGAAGGTGCTCAATTAACACAGGGCCAAGCCTGCCAGTGGGAGGTGCAGGTTAGGGGAACAGCGCCAGATGGTCTGTCCTGAATCCTGTCTGGGGTGCTGTGATATTGCAGGTGGCTCTGCACATGCCACAGCAGTTATGCAAAATGTGTGTGGTTGGGGGTTCACTACTGCTCCCCTTTGACAGGTAAAGAAACTGAGGCACAGAGGAGTGAAGCACTTATTTTTCCCAGGCCACCTGGCCTCATCTGCCTAATACCAACCTATTCTACTATGGGAACTCTTTCAATAGCTGGGGGTCTTTGAGGATGCATGTTGTCAGGATGACGGTGGCTTCATAAACCAGAGACTCCCAGAATGCAACGTCGTAAACGTTTACAAAACTGAGGCCTTAGAAGGGAACATCAGAACTGGAAGTTCGAGGGGCTGGGGGGGTAGGCCAGGGGTGCCCAGCCCTGTGTGTGGATACAGAGAGAGGAACACAGGATGGAATGGCAGACAGAAGAACAAAGTCACATCAGCCGTACAAGCTGACTCTGCCTTTGTCAGGGATAGGGCTCAAGGCAGTGGGTGTGCTCACACTAGGGTAAGCAGTAGCCCCTCAACATGGATGGTATCCAGGAAGGCTGGCGGTGATTCTCTAAGCATTGCGTTCTGGAAGCATTGCATTTACTGGAGAGAGGCTGCTGGGTGGAACGGTGATGTCACAGAGCCTATGTACCTCTGTGGGGTTTGCTGAAGCCGGGCCAACACATGAAGCTAAAGCATGCCGAAGAACACAGTGAGGTGTCCGGTCTAGCCCACCAGAGAGACGCTGCGATGAGGGTTATGCTCTGCCACTGTGTCTGTGTTGGCTTCCCCAAAGCGGATAAGGGGAAGGGGATCAGGACCGCCTCCATCTTCATCATCTGAAACTCCAGAATGATTTCCGGGAGTAGGGTGGCCCCTTGCTTCAGGGCGTGGTTACTTTCCAGCAAGTACCATGGCATCCGGCAGCACTGCCTGCCCTGGGTTCCTCAAGCACAGGCTCATACTCCAGCCATCTCACTGGTGAAATGACAGTGGCAGCAGCCACTCAGCTGGCTCTTGGGGACCAGTGCCAAGCCTCGGGCCTGCATAGAGGCCACCTCAAAAGATGCATGGATACATGCTCCCTGGCACTTCCCTGGGTTGTGTCTCTGCCAACCCTAAGCTCTCACCCAGCAAGGTCATGAAATCCACTTTTAGGCCCCTTCCCCTAGCAAGCCCCATGTACCTAAACTTCTGAGTGGTCCATGTCAATGTCCCCCGCTGAATGAATAAACAAATGAAGGACACGCGTCTGCCTTGCTCTCCTATCTGTCTTCTCTCTGAGGTCAGACCTCACCCACCCAGACTGGCTTGGTCAGGTAGACCTCCTGGCCCAGAAGGTCCCTGGCTCCTGGCCTGATATCAGAGCCAACCAAGGCGAGAGTGGTGTTCACGGGATTCCAAGAGCTTGCTGAAAGTCATCTCCGTTCTGTGAAAAGAGGCAGACCCGCCAGTTTCCATTGATGGACCAACAAGCCCAGGGGTAGACTGAGGAACTGCATAGGAAAAGACAGGACACACACATACACACGCTACTTCTGCCTTCTGGATTTTTGCTTTCTGATCCCACTTCCTTGTTACCTAGCTCTCGGGAAGAGAGTCTGACTCCACCAGCCCCCCTCTCAAGATCCTGCCCAACCCCTAGGTTTGGGGACCCCATAAAGCACAGAAGTAAATAAAGCCACCTGGACAGCCAGAGCAGACACATGAGATCTCCTACCTGTCCTGAGTGACTGTACCTGTCTATAGCAGGATGACCCCTGCCCTGCTATCTGTCACTTGTGTCTCTTACCCCAACCTGGAACCTTTTTAACACCAAAGTCTTTGCTCCCCCCTCCTGCTTGCCACGGGACATATACCACAGGACTTAGTTTCTTTGGTGCCATGCCAGTACCATCCCTTGATAGGTAACACTCACCCCTTGTGCCCAGGACCATGTGTATAGCCATACTTCTCCTGAGTTTCATAGTCCTGGAAGGGACAGGACAGGACAGGACCGAATCCTGATTTAGCTGATGAAGAAACTCAAAATCCCGACTACCATGCTCCACGCAGAGTGAGCGGCTGAGGCATCGTAGTTTCACCTGGCCCTGGTTCCATTCACACCTGTGAGGGGAAGGGAGGGCTACTTGCTTATGCCATGCCCTCCGAGCAGCTCCAGGGTGAGGTGGACCTGCACTGAGTGTCCAGCCTGCACAAGGCCTTTATCGAGAGCCTTGGGTCTGATGGTTGGGACATCCCTGCTCCACAGAGGAGGGAAGAAGGCTTGTGAAATTGTACCAGGCTCCCTGAGGTCACACAGCAGCAAGCTTTGCCAGCTCCCATCTGAGCCAGGTAGCAAGTGACTCAGGGCTGGGAACCAGCAGCTATGGGAGCCAAGGGTGGAGTAGGCTCCACAAGCAGGTATAAGGGGTGGCCAAGGAGTAAATCTCGTCCTTAACACGGAGAACATGAGGCTTCTCTTCTGGTTCCTTCTGGCCGTGGTCTTGAGCCTGGAACTAGGTGAGTTGGGGGTGTGGCCGCTTTCTCTACTGCTCTGACTTATTCCTGTCCTTCCATCCTGGGCCACCACTCACCCTTGGGGTTACCCCTTTCATCCTTCCTCTCCCTATGCTGGACACCAAGACCCTCCCTGCCCACCAGCCTCTGTCCTCTGCCACTGGCATTCCCAGATTCCTAAGCCCTTTTCTCTGGACTCAGCACCCTCTGCAGTCCTCAGCTCACTGCTCAGTTTGAAAGCCACCCCTAGGCCTCTCCAGTTCCATAGCAGCACCGCTGCACCCACACAGGCATGGCACACCTCTACCAATTTTCCCTCCTCCAGTCCTAGAGCTCCAGCAGGTCTGCAGCCACTCTCTCCTGATGCACCCCCCCCCCCAACCTCCTTGCTTAGATTCTCTCTTCCACCTTCCGTGGGCAACTTCATCCACTTAACTTCAGTCCCGTCAGACTTCTATACCCTAGTTTCATTTGTCAGTAATAGAGGCTTTGACCCCTAGTGCTTGCTGATGGCCTCCCAGGGACACCTCCAAATATCACTGCCTATGCCTGGTCTTGACATCAATTAGGAGAGCCTGAGTGGTTCCTATATCCAACCACAACCGATGCCTGAGCAAAGAAACAGTTGGTCCTGTTGTCCAGCAGCAACCTGTGTTCTAAACTCGCCAGCCCCAGCTCCCAGAGGTCTCACCTAGAAAAATCTCAGTTTCCACCCATGGGTGGGAACACTCCAGGACCTGGGGTCCACCTGAGATGGGGTGGGAGATGTATGTGTACACTGCTGGCTGTACTTCACCCTTCTTGGACCGGGCTTCACGGGGATTCTCTGACCTGAGAAAGCCTGAACTATTGGCCCCCAAATGTTCCCTCAAACCCTTCAGGAGAGACCAGATCTATGATAGTCCTGAGCTCAGAGTTGAGAGGTTTTTGTCACTGTCAGGGCTAAGGTTTCGGAGGGCATGCTCAGCCATGGGCCAGTCACCCTCTCTGTCTTAACCTGAAAATCTCAGGAGCGTCTGTGAGCCTGAGACCATTTTCTACACTGGGACCTCCCTGCCCCTTCCTCTATGGAAATCATACCTGCCCACTCAAGACAAAATTCTCAAGGCTGGACAGTTAGAAGTTGGAGAGAGCCAGGCTCCACGTGCCTCTCTCAGCATACTCCATGTCCTACATCTTTTCTGGCACATGCTCTGTCACCCAGGGGCAATGCTGTCTCCCCAGGGCTGGAAGCAGCCAGAGAAGGGTGAGCTACATTCTAAGCTGATCTCAGAGTGAGCCAATAGGATGGGAAGGAGTCAACTGGATGGGCAACATTGCAGCGGGACTGAACATGGTGGAGTCTGCTCCTCCAAGGCTCACCCCATCCTCCCTCGCATCCTCTTCTCCAAAGCCCTCTCTTTCTCCCCTTTCTTTTCTTTCTTTTCTTTCTTTCTTTCTTTCTTTCTTTTTTTTTTTGAGACCATATTTCTCTGTGTAGCTTTAGAACCTGTCCTGGAACTCACTCTGTAGACCAGACTGGCCTCGAACTCACAGAGATTCATTTGCCTCTGCCTCCTGGGTGCTGGGATTGAAGGTGTACACCACCACTGCCCAGCTAGTCCTTTTTCTCCCTAAGCAAGTACCATCCCGGGGTCTGTCCCCATGACCTATCACTGCACCCAAGAACCAATTTCTTTCTGAGAGCTAAACCTGCCTGGCCTCCTTGACAAGCGCGCGCGCGCACACACACACACACACACACACACACACACACACACAACCCAAGAGGGGCAGTTATTCTTTCTCTTAGTGACCCAGCTCTTGCCCCAACTCCTAGAAATCATTGATTCATTCACTTACTCCTGGGACTCATCAGTGCAGGAGGATGCAGCGTGATGGATACTTGGGGGCACTGGGAATGGGAAGGGATCCCCATTCCTCTCCAGAACCCCAGTGAATAGGAGTGTGGAGATAGTGTTAATCATGAAAATAACAAGGCCAGCATGTACATCAAAGGAGGTTCCCTGGGATGGCCTCTGAGCTAGCTTGTGCTACATGAATGATGGAAAGATGAGCCTGGACAAAGTTAGGAGACATGGAGAGGAAGAAGAACAAGAGGTAGTACCAGTCCAATTCTCCCCAGCGCTTTGCCTGTTCCTTTGGTGCCCCAGTCAGCTGCTGCCTAAGTCCCTTCCTATCTGGTGAACAGCCTGTTCAGTGTCTTTAAGATCCATGGGGCAGTAGCAGGCTTGGGGGCTTTTGTTGCTACCTTTTGTGTCCCTGGCAAGGTCTTAGCTTGCTCTGCAGGGGTGGTGAACAGTCAAGGCAGGTGGTGGGGACCTTGCTATGGTATGGACTTCCTGTCTGTCACCTGCTCCATGGTGTATAGGATGACGGACTGGCCTTTGAGACCGGCCGGAACTGACCGGCATACTTCCCTGTGAGGTCTGGTAGAAATGTGGCTGTAGGAGTCTCAGGGTGATCTCTACTCTCTCTGGCTACTCGGTGGCCCAGGTAGGAGGGGGCAAGGACCAGGAACTTCCCCGCTCAGCATCAGCTCTGGGCTCGCCCAGGGAAACCTGCAGCAGCACGGCGCTGGAGAGTGCCCAGGGCTGGGTGTGGGGTTAGGGAATCCAGAGAAGGGAGCTTAAGGAAGCACCAGAAAGATGCAGAGGGAAAGGGCAGGAGACAGATGAGGAACTCCAAAGGAAGCATGAGAGAGTGTGGTAGGCCACTTTCCTGATGGGCACCCCCTGGGCTGGATGCAAGAATAGTGATGCACCATTTGTCAGGGTGGCAAACAGAGCTCAGTGGACTCCCACCTTCCTTCTGCCTGGCCATGCCGTGGTAAAGGCCCCACCAACACCACCCACAGAACATTTATACCAAGAGGTATAAATGACCTTTCTCAGGTCCCTGGAGGGGAGTGTGGTTAAAGTCTCAGTCTCAGATCCCCATTCCTCCCCCACCCCGGTCTTCAGGAGCCTGGACCTGCATTCCTCTCCCCTAGGAACTCTCACCTCTGCTCCATCCAGCCCTTGGTGTCCTGAGCAGAGGGACACAGGCCAGCTGGTTCCAACATGGTCACTTGTGTCTCTCACAGAAATAGGCTGAGCACCAGGGTTTCACTTCTCCCTCCCTCCAGAGGGGCTTTGCATCACAGATGAGGGCTGGGAAGCTGGGCTACAGAGCCCTGGGGCTGGTGGAGGATGGAAGCAGGGTGTTGGGTACAAGAGCGGGTGTCACCCTCTGTGGGAGTTGCTCACTGGCTGCCCCTGTCTCTGTCTGCCTATAGCTATAACACAGGGCATGCAGTGTCACATCTGCAAGGGGTTTGGAGGATGTTCCCACCCGTCCAGATGCCCAAGGAGCTCCACCCACTGCGTCATCATCGGCACCCGTGAGTGTGGTGGGAGGGGTGGGCTGGACACTCCCTTCTTGAACAGAGAGCTGGCTCACTGGGCAGGCAGAGCCCAAAGTCAGTGTGGTGGTCAACCAACCAAAAACAGAGTGGAAAGATGTCTGGCAGTCCCTGACTGGGGCAGGGGCCCAGTAGGGGCCAGGCAGGGGCTCTTGGTGTCTGGGGATGACGCTCAGCACAATGGCAAACGTGGTAGAGGTTTGGGCAGCTCGGGGATTCAGAAAGCACCACGGTCTCTCTCTTATCCCTTAGGAGCTCCCATCAGCTTTACAGACTTGCCTCTGGTGACGAAGATGTGCTACAGTGGCTGCCCTGATGTTGCCAGCTTGGGCTTGGGTCCTCACGTATCCATCGTTTGCTGCCAGTCGAATCTCTGCAACAGGGACTGACCACACTCTCACTGCCAGCTGGCCCCACGGAACCATGCCCAGGCCTGGTCCTTGGGGATCATTCCAGCCTGGCCAAAGCCTCCCCCCCACCCCAACTCAGACTTCCTCAGGAAGTTCTGAGTGAAATCCTGCGTAAATCTACTGTGGTACAAACTTAAGGCCCTGATCCACTGTGGGCCACCCTCAGTGTCAACAAATCTTTCAATAAAAGCAGCTGGAACACACGGTGTAAGTTGTCCAATGGAAGCAGTGTTCCAGGCACCGGATTCAGGCAGTCTCTTAACCCTGTCCCATCTCTTATCAGTCACGGCCTCCTGGGCCCAGGCTGTCTCCTGCAATCCCCACTGACCTCTCTTCTACCAAAAGCCTACCTATTTCTAGGCAGACACGGGGTCTGAAAGGCACAGGGGCTGCAGATAGCGGCACTGCTCTTGAGCAGGCTGTGAGGAAGAGCTGAGGCTGTAGGCACTTCAGAAGCACAGCAACGTGAGTCTGGGGCCCAGAAAAGGGGCTGGGGGCTGAGGAGCACTCCAACTTGGAAGTGAGAGTACCCTCGATCTGGAGTTTGGGACACTTGAGGAGTACCCTGACCTGGGCTTAAAGACTGGAAGGATCTCTGACCCAGACCCAATGAGCACCTTTACTCTGAATGAGACTCCAGAAGCCTCCTACAGACCCACAGTTGAGCGGGTGGAGAAGGAGGTCTCTGCAGAAGAGGAGAGGTATTCACTCACCACAGCCCTTTGGGGATCATCCACCTCTGTTGTCAGTAGCTCTAGGGGAACCCAGCTACCTTCTTGGCCTTATGTCTCTGGCACCTTGTCCTGTTCTCTCTTTCCTACCACGCCCTTGCCTGGTTCACCTTGCCTATGTCTCCCAAAAAGCTGCCCATCTATCAGACCCTGTGTGGCCCTGGGTTTGGATAGAGCCACCCAGACAGTATAACCACTCACTCACCTTAGTCTGGACACAGCAGTTAGACACCCAGAATCTGTGGAAGTTACTTGGTAAATATTTACCCACCGGCTCCCAGCCACGTCTGGAGATAAGTTTCGGCCTCTTGGTTTCGTGACCACAGAGGGAAGTCACAGTTGGTACCTGGCAGGTAACACAGAGGCAGGCCCTGACCTCGACATGCTTGTTCTCAGCTTGGCAAAGTTTTTAAGAAAATAAACCCTTGTAAAAGGGCAACACCCATGAGGACAATGGCCAAGCAAAGAGTAGCTGACAGAAAGCTGGGGCCTCAGCATCAGCCAAAACCCAGAAAAGAGGAAGCTCATGCTCTCAGTGCCCGAATGAGCAACAGTGCTGCTCAGGGCAGTGTGGGAAGGACGGCTAGCTGCACATTGGTACCCGGATGCAAAGCCAAGTAGAGATGCGTCCAGACCTCTCTCACCAGTGCAAAAAACACTTCAGTCAAATCAGAGACTTCAAAGTGAAAATAAAGACCTTGTTTGTTTGGGGAACTGAACTCACTGTAGAGCCCAGGCTGGCTCAGCATCCTGCATGGTTGAAAAGAAATTCTTTAATTGCTAGGCCTCAAACATGACTCTGGGCTTACAAATGATTAATTGAACGATTAAACCCGGTTTCTGGTTATGACCTGGAAAGGGTGCCCCTGGACTTACACACAGAAGTAGAAACATGTCCCTGGAAACTGGCCCATAATTGCTCAGAGCAGAGCTGTTCACGCCCAGCAACCACAGGGTGGAAACCCACATACCCATCACTGTGGATGCATGTATACAATGTGACATCCCTCAGGCCACACAATCCTTGTCAGCAGCCTATAGGAGTGAGGCACTGACCCACACTCTTGCAGAGCTGGCCTTTGAAAACACTCCAGGACTCTGCATGAAATGGCGGGATTTAAGGCAGGCTGGAAACAGATGGAGGCAGGTGTACAGGGCAGGAGGAGACTTCCAAAGCATTTCCTTCTGCTGCACCATTAAGCATCTCTGATCACCAAGATGCTTGTACATTTCTTTGGTCACTCTAGATATCAGAAAGGTTCTCCGAGTACTAGGATGGGAACACATGACATAGCAACAGAGGCTGTGGCAGAGAGGAAGGCGAGCGGGAGAAGCGTGCCTAAGCTGCTTGGGCAGCGTCTGTTGGCCTTGAAAATGTGGGCAGGGAGACGGGCGGTGGTGGCACACACCTTTAATCCCAGCACTTGGGAGGCAGAGGCAAGCGGATCTCTGTGAGTTCGAGACCAGCCTGGTCTACAAGAGCTAGTTCCAGGACAGGCTCCAAAACCAGAAAAACCCTGTCTCGAAAAACCAAAAAAAAAAAAAGAAAAGAAAAGAAAAGAAAATGTGGGCAGGGGCTTGATCACTCTGGTCAGCAGTGACTCTGCTGTGATGTCCAAGGTACCTTTGTCTGAATTGCTGCAGTTACAGAAGTCAGGGTGTCTTGTGCTAGGCCTGCAAAGAAGAGGGTGCGTGCTGAGCAAGGAACCTTTGGCAGGGCTCAGACAGGACAGGGCCACTCACGTCACAACTTCCTGCTCGTGCCTAGGATTATGGGGTTTTACAAAAAAGTTCTCATCCTGGGATTTTTTTTCCAGCCATCAATCCTGCAATGGGCTTCAGTTGACCATTCTCCAATACAACTCAGATACCAACTACGCATAGCCCACATCAGATCCTACAGGTCGAAGCTCTGCCCCCCAGGCTATGCCCATCTCACATCCTTCACCCTCTGTGACTCTCCATACAGTAATTTTGGCATTTTTGGTCATGTCCTTGATTTTAAGAATGTGTAAAAGTGTTGCCTGAATTATCGGGTTTCACTAAGGAACGTCAGAGCCTCCCTGCGTCTCCAGGCACGAGTACTTTCTCATTATCTTCTTCAGAGGCCCAGATTCTCCTGTGTTAAGCAACCCAGAGGCTGAGAGTCCTGTCCCTTTGGTTTTTACGGAGGTTTCATCATGTGGGCATCATTGATTACATCATTGGCCAAGGTGATCGGTTTACCTTTCAGTTCCTCTCCTGACTCCAGAGGAGACTTGGGTGGGGATAAAAGTCCCCACCCTCTAATTGTGCAGATGTCTCTTAGGTGGCCAGCCCCATCCTGGAACTAACAAGGGGCATCCCTCCACTTGTCATTCATCAACTTTTAAAAGACACTCTAATTGCTACAGGGTTTCCAAGAGTTTTAAGGAGCTGCGTGTCAAGAAACTTGGCTGAAGACCAAGGGTACTTTCACAATGCTGCAGGAATGGAGGGATGGTTCGATAGCTAAGAGCATGGGCTTCCTTTCTGAGATAATGGAGCATGTCATCACAACTAGTGGTGTTTGTGGATGTCTTTGGCTATGCCAAAGCTATTGAGCTCAGTAGTGGGATGCCACTATGTATCCCAGGCTGGCCTTGAACCCATGGCAATCACTTATCAGCCACCCAAATGCAGAGATTACAGGTGAGCAGCAGCACACTCAGCAACTGATATAATTCGAAATGTCTGAGTTGCCAGGTATATGAGATACAGTCAAGAACGCCACTAAAAATTAAAAAGAAAAAGATAGTCAGGCAGTGGTGGCACACATTTTTAATTCCTAACTCAGGAGGCAGAGGCAGGTGGATCTCTGTGAGTTCGAGGCCAGCTTGGTCTACAGAGTTCCAGGACAGCCAGGACTACCCCCGCCCCAAAAAAAACCCTGTCTCGAAAAACAAAAACAAACAAGCAAAAATAAAACAAAAAAAAAGAAGATAAACAAGATGCAAAATCTAAATTGGGAGTCATAAATTATTATATAAGAATCTGTAAAATAATACTCATGGAAGCTTCCTAGTACTTGAAAGACTGGGACTAAAGGTTCAGGCCAGCTGGGTTACGTGAGGAGACTTGGGAGGGGAGGCTGTTAGGCAGAACTGAAAGGCAGAAGACTGAGAAGGAAATATTTGCCTCACATGCCAAGAAGCAAACCACCCTCCACGTGTGCCACAGGAAGTGATCAGAGGACACACAGAGAGGCCAAGCAAAGAGAAATGCTGAGGTGGGGTGACAGGAGAGAGCTGTCACCCTTATTATCAAGGCTGTGACCAAGAGAGAGAAGCAGTGGGTGAGGCCTGGAGGGGGAGGGGCCTCCGGTGCTGCTCCTTGGAAGGACATTGGTAGACTCTAAGCCTGGAGTTTGCCGGATGCTGCTTCTGTAGATGCCTGGGTCTCTTGTCTAATCCAGCTAACTTCAGCGCATCTGTGCCCACTGCTGGGTAGCCATGGCCATGCACGGTGATGGATTTGCGAAATCAGAGACTTCGAGACAGACTTTCAGGAGAGGGGCTGGCTAGCAGGCTGAAGTGCAGTTTGGGAGTCTGAGGCCAGATGTCAGAATCTGGTGATCTCTTTAATTAATTCTTCTGAGGACCTCCTAGGCCCTTTGGGAAGGGCTACCGCCAAGTTTACCTTCCTGGACACCTCCTGGAAAGGTTGATCTACAGTAGTGAGGACTAAGGTGGTTTATGTTTCCAGGGACAGTGAGCCTGTGGACATGTGGTTCTAGCTCCCCTGAGACCAAATTCTGTCCTTCTAGAGACATTCCTCTGACGTCTGGCTGGTGGGTGGAAAGGGTAGGTACCGAGACGTCTACTGCCCCACTTTCAGGATGAAACTGTGACTATCTCGTGATCCACAGAGCAGAGGTGCTTACAGGGTTTATGGATGTTCTCTGGGAGATGTGTGAGAGGATAAAGGAAGAGCTACGACATTGAGTGAGGACAGGGAAGGCAGAGGCGGGGCTTTATGACTCAAGAGAGCATCTGTCCAACCTCCCTCCATAGCTTGTCCTGGGCTCGGGGTAGTAACCAGGGCTCCCTTTCCCAGACTTCCAGAGCCAGGTCTCTGCTGCTGCTCTCCATTGAGAGACAGAGGCACGAATGGGTGCCCTCAGTGTCCCTGCTCAAGTTTCTTCCCATCCACCACACCAGTGCATTTTCTTAATGCTGCATCCGGAGGGAGGTGTTCCAGACAAGGTCTGGAGAGAGTTGCCACCGCAGA